AAAGAGAAAGATTCAATCAAACAAAAAGAAATGCGAAGCAACAGCATGTAATCACCATGCCTGTAACCATTGTTTTGTTCACTCTTTAATATCGAGCTCTTCATTCATATCGAATGCAACAGCAACTCCTGCTGTTAATAATATGCAATGTTTCTCGCTTATTAATTAAGTTTGCTTCGTGATCGCATATCATGCAGTGCAAGTTGTGTTGTATGTCCTACACGAAAGCAATACGAAATGATCTCGTAAAAAAAAATTAACGAAGAAATTACAATAGCGTTAGCGTCCTGGTAGATTTACACTTCTCACTAGCTAGCAAAATAAGTTCATTACGAATAGTAAGCGTGTTATTTGCTTTATATATTGTTCTTTAAGGAATCCTTTACTCTCGAGGTGCCTCAGGGCTGACGTGTTTCCTGTTTTGTCCAAAATCTTTTTAATTTACCGAATATTTGGTCGTTGTCGAAACTCGGAAAAGTTCCAAGCGATGGCTACTTCAAACATTATGACTAAAATAAAAACAAGAATAACTAGTCAATTTGAATTTGGAGGTTTGGGCATTGGTATGAACCAAATAACAAAAAAAAATTTAATACCGTTTTACGCAAAAAAAAAAAAAAAAAAATCGAGAACTGATTTCATTTGAAAATGTCATGATCAAAAAGCACTAAATTTGATGCATTATTTTATTTTCTCCCTGTCTCAGCGTTTAGGATATGACGTTTCCTAGCCAGCTCGCCCGCATACCCTTGCTTCTCGCAAATAAAGAACTATCACTCATCACTTGGCGATCTGATTCAATTTCACCTGTGTCACTCCGCTTGTTAGGCACAACCTTATGATTTAAACGTCATTTCATTTTGAAACATAAGGTATACTTCTTGACCAAGACACGTTAATTAAAGCTGGCACATGTTAAAGCTGCCAGTGCTTTATTATCGATAAAGCAGATCACTCATATTGAACCTATAATACCTCACAGATCACTCACATTTATATCAAGAACCGTAGTAACAAAAGTTCAGCTTCTCGTGGAACGTCACTGACCTCTCCCTTCATATGGTGAATAGACCCTTTCTGAAATTGTGAAATGATGCGTAGATTATGCGCTGCCACCATTAGTTTGTCTTATCGCTTCTGGCGCGAAGCCCTTGATTGGTTCCGAGTTCGCGTCGAGCACTGACGCACCACGCGTGTGGAATGCGTTTCGATTCTAGTACAGTCCGAATGCTGACGAAGCGCTCGTGTTCCATGCGTGCACACAGTACCAACTAATGGCGGCCGTACATAATCTATGCATCATATCGAAATTTCGAAAATACGTGGCGTTAAGTATATCGAAGTGTCTAGCGTTACGTCCGACGTAGCCCAAGTGACGTCCAAATCTCCGTCTTCCCTAGGTTCACGGGGGGGAGGGTTAGATGTACACGTTTCAGTGCTCCGTCCGGACGTAACGCTAGCCACAGCGTATATATATATATATAATATTCCAGAAAAATATTTGCCCTTAAGGAGATGGTCGTCCAAATCAGGGAGAAGGTCGCCAAAAAAGTGTGTGGAAACGCTTTAAGCCTGTTTGACTCTTCCTCAGTCCGTGAAAGTATATCTGGATTTAAACAAAATGTATGCAAAAATATTGGTTACATGGAAACTGTCAGTAACAACGCTATAATGACGTTAAGGAATCAGGACAACATGACGTGGCGTTAAAGCACGCCACGTCATGTCGCCTTGATTAAAGCTCGATGACTGCGCGTTCCGCAACCGCGGTGTTGCTAATTGCCTGCGTGACGCTCCAGCACTCCCGACACTTCCCGAACGATGTGTTTCCCTGAGAGTTGTAGCAAATTTCAACTCACTGCCGCCTACGCGTGAAGCTGGTTAATCCCTATCCGAGCTAAGCACTCCTTTTCGCGCTTCGGTGTCCCTCTACGATACGCACTAGAAATCCTCACCCTCTGCTTTTCAAGACGAATGGCGTCTGACAGGAAACACGGTGGAACATGGGCGTTCCTTTGTCCTTTCTTTGTTATGCGACGACTTGCTCCGTTCGCCGTGGAGGTTGGAGTGGAAATCTTGCATATTAAAAGAAAAAGACGTTTAATGTTGCGTAGACCCGGTAGCCGTACTATGTCTTCCCGTTTATGCTCTTGGGCGAATAAATGCATGAAATGAGGACGGTGTCTCACCGCGTCGGTTCAGTAAGGAGCTGCAAAGGATGTCACCGAAGCATGTGATCTTGGACTTTGGGCATATAGGTGACTGCGAGACGCTGCGAGGGATTTTAGTTTTTTTTTATGTCTTGGCTTTGAACTGTCTTTTCGTGAGTGTTTAAATGCGTAGCTCTATAAGCTCTAAAAAAAGTATGAGTTTACTTTGTTCCGTAACACGGAGAAAACCAATCGCCGCGAACATTATACTTCGTTCACCCCCAAGCTGATACTGCAGCGGAAGCTACGTCCTCGTTGTACCAGTTATACGCCTCTCTTTCACCGGGTCATCATACTTCCGGCCATACCCACGAGCGGAGAGGCGGGTCAGGCGATAAAAGGAAGGCAGCTGATTGGTAGCTCCCAACGTAGCGTCAGCTTAAGGGTGAATGGAGTACGTATAGAAGCATTCCAGGCAAGGACGAAGTCCAGAATGCTACTAAAACATGATGTCCATTGTAACTGCGCACATTGCATTTTTTACATTAAAGTATAAAATACCTTTTAACGCTACCCCCCAATCCCAAAATTTTTTCCGTCCCTCCGTCACTCCGTCCGTGCATTTCCAGGTAACTTTAGGTGACTTAACCTGACGTCACCTAAATTTGGCGGAAATCTGGCATCCGACGTCAACTGACCAATATGCCTTCCGGAAATTATAGGAGCGTAACCTATACTTCAACTCAGTTTCCCCGCTAAATTTAACGGGACAATTTACGCCTTCCTGCCAAAATAACAACACAGGTTCCCCGCTAAATATAGCGGGAAATTGCCGTCACGTGACCTAACGTCGCGTGATCTATACAACAATTCAGCTTCCCCTTTAAATTTAGCGGGGATATAGGCGTCACATAACACACCAATTCCCTCGCCCATTCTCTATAATGCATTGCATGCATTATAGTACTTTAAAAACCAATATCACTGCCAATTTTTTTTTATTTCTTTAGCGGAGAGGCGTGTAATTACAGTTTGATTTTCTCCGTTCGCTGGAATTCTAAATAGCAAGCATGTGTTCCTAAATGTGTACCCGAAGTGTAAATGTGCACGTTAAAGAATGAAATGCTAGAAATCGTGCCGCAATTGCCAGATTTCTCATCTACACCGTAGACACTAGAGTCAGTGTTAAGGCAGCTTGCCCAGTTTTCGTCGTCTAGTCCTAAATCCGCGAAATAGTACTTTTGGTGATCAGGATTCCAAGCGCGCGGTAGGTCGTCGCGAGTGTAATGAAGTAAGGGTAAGAGCATTGGGCACTTGGGCAAAGCTATTCTGGTTGAAGGTTCCAGCGCCAAGGTTGAAAATAAAAATGACGGAACTGAGTAACGAAGATCCCACCTTTTCGAGCGCAGCCCTTAGGCGCCCGTTTCCGCTTGAGCGGCGTCGGCGTAGCCGCGAGCCCCCCCCCCCCCCCCCCTCCCCCCCCCGAGAACCTCGGGAGGACCACAGGAAGACCTTGGGTTCCTTCGGGAGGACCTCGGGAGGGCCATGGGTACCTTCGGTAACCTCGGGGATACCCCCCCCCCCCCCCCCCTTAGTATCCCTCACTCCTCCTCCTCAAGAGCTGCGCTCTAATTCGGCGTTACAGATAGTTGCAAACGGCTTTTACTTAATTTTTTTCGGTTATTTATTGAAAAGCGTGGTGGCAAAATGTTGCTCCGGTCTTTTGACTCCACGTTGTGCTCCGCGATGCGAAATGTTAGTCAAGCCCTCTGCCCTTCCTTAAGCTTGTTTGCCAAACTTATTTTTTCTAAAGCCCTTTCTAATTTTACATCTTAGGAGTAGTAAAACTACCCTCTTTTTTTTTCTATCTTTTATTAGATTATGAATTCTTATAGGGGAGGAAATACGGTCCGGCGAGACAGCAAACAACACTTGCGTCGCTTGCTTCGCGCATGCTTCGACACCGTACGCACGCGGAGAGACTGCTGGCTGCTCTCAGCTAAGAGTCCAAAGATGTTTCTCCCACCATCTCCGAGGACGCCGCTGTACGAATTCCTGCGAGATAAGTTCGTGCGCCCTCCGTTCCCTATGTACTATCATTATGCAGAAGTGGTCTATTGCGGCGATGCAAAAGACATGTGCTCCGTGCATTTCTAGGAATAGCTAGTGGAGAAACGCTTCGCAGAGTTATGAAGGCGTGCTGATCGTTTCTACTATTTACTCTGGTTACATGAATCGAACGTTTTTCCCAACATCGATTGCCGCCACTTGCATGCCGTGTTTCAGTGTGGTAATGACCTAATATACACGGCTGCATAATTCTACAGCTCTGATTCCAACTCGAACTTTCGGTACAGCCTTGATCGAGGGAAGCTAGACTTGGTAAAAAGTAATTATAAACTGACTTATTTGCGAGAATGTTCTTGCACACAAGGCATTTTGCGCTATGATATTTTTGATAGAGCGTCACAAAACTTGAGAGTATTATAATTGTTCCGCTACAGGGGTTTCTTTATATCATTTATTATGAAGCTATTAGTGTAAATGTGTTTGAATATAGGATATTTTCCCGTTACATGTTTCATATATTTATGACAATAAAAATATACGTTTAATTCCAATGTTGCTATAAAAATGACCGCTTCCCACGTAGCCGAGGACAACTCAAATGTAACTACACAAAAGCACCACAGTTTGTGATTTTTTTTTTTTGCACTATCCTTGCACTGCAGGTATGCCCAAGATTCTACCTAGTATCGTGTTTTTTTTTGTCTTTTTTTTGTTAAGTTTATTTTGCGGAAATTAGCAGCCACAACTGACTTTCGGCACTTTCCATGCTTTTGTTCGCAGGTGCAAACCGCTGTGCGCAACGCCTACCTGCAGGCGCTCATCCGACGGAACCCGAACCGCTACTCCCGGGGCCGGGGACTGTCCCAGAGCTACTCGACCTACTGCGAGGGTTCCTCCCTGGCGCCGGACCTCCACCCTCACGCTCACCACAAGGTGGCGCCACTGCGCAAGGCCTACCCGCCCATCCGGCGCTACTCTGAAGTGGAAGTCGAAGCTCTGTCGTCCATCGGACCCCCGAGAATCACGCACACGCCGCTGCCACCGCCGCAGGCGTCCGCCGTCAAGTGGGACCGCAACTGCTACTTCTGAGCCGCCAATCCGGCGGTGGCGCTACAGGAACGCGATGGCGCACCAACTGAGGGGCGTGAGGACCGCGAGTGAGCACACCGTGACGGTCGGCAGAAAGTATCTTCAGGATGTTTTCCTGGCGAGGGAAAGGAACGGGTTTTTGCCAAACGAATCCGCGTACGCCCACACGAGGTGTGGCCACTGTACTTGCGCGGAAAACAAAAATCTCGCGAAGTGAACCATCTGCGCGTGCGCACTGCCGACAGCAGAGCTACCACAGCGTCCATACGTCTGAACCGCTCGTTGGTCTATACGATCCCAGTAAAACGGATGCCTGACCCGTACTGAAGAAATCAAAGGCAGGATGGTTTCTGACCAAGGTTAGGCGATCGCGGACGCGGTGTCCGGATACCTTTCGTGAAAAATATGAAGGGCATGCTTCACGATGGAGGGAACTAAAGTGTTCACAGTCTACATTAACCAGCTGTCCCCGAGCGTGAAGACGTGTCGCGTTTGAAGGCGAGTATCTGCGAGGGCTATATCTAACCCGCGACTGGATTATTGTGGATGTAGGGAAAGACATTTGCCATCAGGTAAATCAAAATGAAATACCAATTTAAATAAGACAGCGGGTTTTTTTTTTTTTTTTTTTTTTTTGCTCGGCAAAAAATCAATGAAGACTATGTTACACTAAAATACAGGAAGTCACTTTCAACGCATTAAGCGACACGAGTCCTAATGTCCATGCTACATAACGAAAGGCGGCACGTTGATCCCATTTGAGATGAAGTTGATATTCTAATGATACGCAACACCTCGGCTTTATTGGACAGAATGCCAAGACAAAAACATTTCAGAGTGATTTCAGAGAGAAATGAGCTCAGACTATTCTGTATACTGGATTGGCTGGAAATTTATTCCGATGGCTGAAGATTTTCTCGCACATTTTTCTTCCGACTCTTCGACATAAAGACTCGGACTCTTCGCAGACTTCGATGAGCTAGAGTAAGCACGCATAACATGACAGAATTCGGAGACAAATCCAAGAATGGATCGTTATTCACAAGCACCAATTAATAACTTTTTCTCTATTCATATCTGCTCTCTCAAGTTCACGTTGAAGTAATTAGTGACCCGTAGACAATTGAATTATTTTACAATTCGTCGTTACTCTTAAGACTGAACTCTAGTTTGGAAAAGTCTTCTAAATCGCAATAACCTCCAACCATTATTGGTGGCAGCAGTGAGTGGTGAGCTAGCTGCGCCATTGTCGCTTTATGGGACGGAGCTTTATTTACTCAAGCATCACATAAATCTGTATAGCCGTTTTCCTATAGCATTGGCCATGCACCCTGAGGCACTAAGACCAACAAAATGCCCCCCCCCCCCCCCCCCCCCCCACACTCGTTTGGCTCATGTCTTCGCCTTGAAATCAGGGTGCGATAATGCATCGTTTCTTTTGATTACTACATAAACCACATGGACTGCCTGACACCTACTTCTGAGAAAAGTTTAGATTTTTCTCACTGTTATTTATCATTTTAGCCGCAAGAGTGCCCAAGCACAGGGACGAGCACTGAAGTCCTGTCACCCTAAGTTTATGAATCTCCATAAGATGTTCAACGTAATTTAATTTACGCCGATGTGTTTTTGACCAGAAGTGGACAGACATCTCGCATTACAATAGATGACAAACAAATTATTTTTTTTAATATACATTCTTTTCAACATCTAGAACATGTGCAAGCAGAAGGCGCTTTTATATTTTGCTGACTAAAACACGATTATTGCAACTAATCTTCCATAAAGGTTTTTTCGTGGTATCTATGATATGTGCTTCTTGTTTCCACAACCTGCACTCACGCAAGCCTCTTCTCTTCAAATCAAGCTTCATGACTGCAATAATTCACGGCATATTTTGGCAGCGCGCCTACAAACACAAACTGGTCCTGGACGTTAGAACGCTTCCCAATACTTCAAGACACACGGTTTGTTGTTGAAGATGAAACCTCATTTGTGCTCATGAAATGAATACGTCGCAAAGACAAAGTCAAGAAACACTTTGAGTGTATCTCTTCTTTTTTTATGCACATGAAGTCGAAGTGGATTGAATGTGGTTGTAATGGTGCCTGAGTAGCTAACAGGGTACATAAAATGTTTACCAACTCCCCCTTAAATTAAGCTAGGTATGATTAGCCGACTCTGAGGAAATTGCATTTTCAGCAGTACGTGTCTGTAGACGCAGAAGAACAGTGTTTTAGAATGTGTTGTTGAGAACAATCTGCAACTTTTTCCATGTTGCTAAAAAAATAGTTCTGGTATGTTTTTTCCTGCGAGACAGGAACAGAGTATGGTCACGCGAAACACCATAAAACTGACAGCTTAAAAACACAGTGCGTAGCTTATCATTCTCACGCTTTATCCTTTGTGGCTTTGAGACACTCAGAACTAGCAACGCCTAGCGTCACTAGCGTTTTCGGTGACTATGCGGAGAGATAGTGTGCTTCATGCGCAGGAGCTGCAGCGACGTCACTACGACGCCGAGCTCTGATTAACTTTGATTGTTGGCAAGGACACTGCAGTGTGCTTTGAAGTCTACCGAATATATATTTCGATCAGCCAACAAGAGTTTAGCGTTCTGATAACATCGCCAACCCCTGTGCAAGAAGCAGACGAACTTGCACTTCGCATTGGCAGGGGTCACAGATTGCTCAACGTCACTGCTGCTTCACGTTGCTCCCTTTTTTTACGGTACGTGTTGGTGCGTAGGAGTCAGCCTGTGTGTGCGTAAACGAGGGCAGAAGCCAATCGTCAAAGTTCTTCCCACACGTGTAGGCTTCTGCGACTTGTGTCCTTGAGACAGCGCCCCTAAGGCTCGGAAGAAACACCCCCATGTTGACCGATCGAGATTGCTTTTGCGAAATACTGTTGACACACTTCAGTTTTGAGGTTCAATAGGAGAAGCATCAGCGGAAACATATTTGTTTCATTGTTGCTTCCTAGCCCCTAAAAATAAACGAAGAACAATATTTGTTTTCACAAGGTTTGCACAACGTTGGTGTATGAGTGTTACAGTACCCCTTCATTTTTATATATATATATTTTTTAATCGGTATATGATTTTTATTTTAAACAACAATATTCGTGTGTACAAAAAAACGAAGCAAAATTTCAATTTATCCCTCTTTGGCACGTGTATGTTTTCTGGGGCTATCTCACTTCATGTAGGCATTGCTTATCTTCTAAAAAATATTGAAATAAAAAGAACGCTATTTCATTTTAATGTTTTACATCTAGTTTGACTGCGAAAGTAGTTTTAAGCAGTGAAGAGTTTTATTTTTCTTGTTTTTTTTTCATCCGTTCCCTTGCCTAGAGGTCACACGTGAGGGTATTCTGGCTGTTCTTCTGCAGGTACCAACAAAGCTGTAGCTTTGAGCTTTTGTACAGCAGAGTCCAGAGGTACAATCCGTCGTCAAGTCTCCTAGTGGTTATGAAGTGCGACTGAACAAAACAGAAAAATTACCCCTCAACTTTGAGAAGTTAATGAAAACTGAAGTTGAACCCCATTGCGTTACGACGCATACAAACGCGAAGACGCGAGCACCTACAGTGTACCAAAACCTAGCCACTCACGACCCTGTGACGCCATGAGACTATAGATTGTGACGATAGATGAAATATTTTGATTATGTCTGCTCACGTTTGAGTTCGAGCGCCACTGTGTTCCACACTGTTCTACGCGATGGACTACCGTCACCGTGCCATTCCTTCACCAGACCCCATGAAGTCATCGCGAAGTCGTCGGTGCGACTATAGCACCACTCGGACTACCGCTCCACAACCCCCTCGATCAAACTTGTGTGTGCAACCCAGGACGTGACGAAGGAACTGGCGACTTCGCTTCCTGTGCCGCTGGAACAAAACGTAGAACCCCGAAAATGTCCATGCTTGATGTGGAGATCACTGGCGAGAACAGATCCGGGACATTGTGGCCATCAGCAGAATTATGAAAAAACAGAACGTCGGGATCTTCTGTGCTTAGGTGCCTGAAAAGCGTCTCCGACCGGTGTGTTCTTCGCGTCCTTCTTTTTAGGCCTCTTGATTTCCGCCTAATGACGTCACACGTGAATCACGTTGTTTTCCCTGCGGTTTCGAAAGAGCGGACAAGAATACGACAAACCCGGTTCTGCTGCAGGTCCTTCTTTAGTTTGACAGCCCGTGGAAGCTTTAGTGACCACCAATAGGGCCGCCGCGACGACAGCGCCTCTTGAGGTCGCTTGTACGAGTTGTCGGAGCATGCACAACCAAGCGCCAGGGGTGTGACATCCGAGAGCGTGACAGGCCTGCTCACGTGACGTAATTTGTTGCCACTTTGGGACCAATTTCGATGCGTGGGTGGTGTAGGACGCTGAACGCAACGGTCGAAGACGTGCTGCAGACACAACAGCAGCGTTATGGAATCAGGAATATAAAAACTGAGAAAAGAATCGCACAACATGAGAGCCTCGTCCTACCTGAGCGACACTGCCAACACTGTTCTTATATACTATAAATGCAGTGTTTACAAGTATTGTCTACCCTGCAGCGTCCCTATCTGGTAACTAAAGAACGTTAAACAAGCGGTACTCCGGTTAAGTCTAGGAACGCCAAAACAATTTTTCTCCGGTCAGAATTTGGCGTTTGTCGCGCTAGTAGGAGAAGGCTACAGGAGCGAACAAAGAGTACGTATATCGTTGTTGTTATTAAAATGTTATCTTATTCTCTTTATAAGTGTATCACTTTGTTGTTGTTTTTTATGAAGTCTGATTTTTTCATGAAGCTTCGCTTGAAAGCTTCAGGTGAGAGCATTACGATTGTGTACACACTTCTCTGTACAGTCTGCACAAACGAAGAACATGTCACGTTGTAAGATATACAGGATGTTTTTGTGTGTCTGTCTGATTTTACCGATTTAGAGGTGAAGTTGCTTTTGGAGCATCGTAGTCACCAACTACATTTTATGTCTATCCACCTAATATTTCGGTACATAAATCTAAAAAAAAAACGCGCTAGTAACACGAAATTCCTGAGCTAAATTGTGTAATATTACAAGAAGAGTTGGGTAAGGCTTGCATGTGAAGTGTTATTATACTTAAAACAGCGATACTAGGAGTGACTAAAGAAGATAGAATTACACAAACCCTGCCGAAACGTGAGGCAGCGCGTACATATCTCTCCTTTTCATCTTTCCTCACGTGGTCATTTTCGAAATTTACTAAAGCTCTAGTTTTAACAAATGCACCTTAGGATCTTCTGAATAATAAGCACACTTTGAACTGACTGGATTAACTCCTTGCGTTTTATTATTGCATTAAGTAACCCAGGTCATCCTCGACAATTGGATAGTGCAAATCAGAATGTGCTCTACCAAAAGCCTGGTAATAGAAGCAGACCGTAAGCGGGCTGTTGTCGGTATGTAAACAAAAATTTTAGTTCAAGGAGTTCCAACTGGCTGGCCTGAGATTAAAAAGCGAGATATTCGCTCGTATATAACTAAAATAAAACGTTATCTTCATACAATATTAGTTATGGTTTTCCTAACAAAAAGGTGTCCGAAGAGTTTTTGTAGTGTCAATCTAAGTAAGCCTTTTATTAGCATCCACAATCCAAAAATTACCTCTCCTCATATCGAGAACTTCCGATTAAAAGCGAATCTATGAAAGAGAAGCTCCCCTGTAGGTAGATATATTGTGCTTGCGAGACTTTTGGGTACTGGAAACGCTTTCAAATAACTCCGTTATTTTATTTTCAATAATTTAATTCCGTATCGCAATTATGCTTTCAAACCAAGTTGAACCAGCTCAGTATTAAATATTTTTACTTTGATTATTCTAAATGTTGAATCACAAGAGTATCGGTTCAGATCCAATCCTGTCACGGCTACGGGTTAGCATAAAAAATTCTACTTTAGTGAGGTCCACATAAATTCCTATGCGTTCGCTCCGCTGAGCGAAAGGAACTTTGCATTTGTGTTATTTAGATGTCTCCCCTTAAGTTTGCGGCGCGATTGCTAACCAAAACACTGTACGCGTTACGAATGCGTCGGGGTTATGTGTACAGTGAAGACATGTGCTTTTGTTTAGTACCTGTTTTCTTCAAACACAGAGTAATACTTTCTGTTCACGCTGCAGTTCAAAACTAGACACCAACATGGGTAACACAAAACGTAGGAAAGGCCACAGGTTTGAGGTTTGAAAGCTGCTCCCACTCTACCAGTTATTACGGGGGATCAGCACCTGCTTAACATCGCACCCCACTACCACCTGTGATGCAAGCAAAACAATAAAAGAAACGTGTTTCTGTCTGGATCACGTTACAGTCATGAGGTCAGCGACTCTGACATATGTTTCACTCAGCCCGTGCAGCCAAGGAAAATTCGTAAGTAAAAAAACTCGCACTCATATTCTTTTCCCTCCATAACAAAAGAAGGATGTGTAACAAGATCACAGGTGCACTAGTGTTTTTGTGCAATCTTGGTTTCCTCGAAGAGAACGGGAAGCCCTTGTACATTCGCTGTTTTCCAATAAACAGATGTTTCTTTATCTCATATTCACGCAGGAAATATGTTAAATAAAGTTTTTCTAGAAGTCGTGCAAACATTATATTGCAAATGACGAGGCTGGCTACGATCCCACGCAAACGTAAATACGTGATTTATTACATTTCATTTTTTATTGTCAACATGACGACCTTTTGTCTAGAGCAAAGCCTCTCGTGTCATTTGTTGGGAATGGCACTACAGAAATGCACAAAGAGCAAAAAACTGACGACCGACGAAAGAGATCTGAAAGAGGAGAAAATGTTCAAACAAAAAACAACTCCAGAAAGAGCGCAGTAACTCAGAAACAGGTTAGCCTTAGCGAAAGAGTATAATGACACCCTGATGTTACTCGCACACTTAAGTTGAAGCCGACAGCTTTAAAGACCTTCCACGATGTGAAGTCACGGACCTGACCCGCACTGCACCAACTCCATCCGAGGTAACAGCAGGCGCGTGCAACCAGCCGATGCGTCGCTCAAACTATCCAAAAACCGCAGCGATGCGACACGGCCGCTGTTTAAACATTCAATAAACCCTTTTCAGAAAAGTGCGCCATCTAGTAGCGGCTAAGACAATTATCCTTGTTTGCCATTGTTTTGGCAAGAGAACTGAGCATGTATTGGACACGAGAGCTGTGTCAGCGTTGGGCGCTTGCTAGCTCAGCTCGTATAAAAAAACAGCAATGCGCCAGCGCTGTGCGAGAATTCAAACTTAGTCATATGCGTCGTGTCTAAGAAATGGCGACCGTCAACATGGCTTGATGGTGGATTTGAAAAGGGTATATTGAACGCTACCGCCCAGTTCATAGGTTAGTCAACTGATATCTGGGGGCTCGGGACCAGTCAAGCTGTTTCAGCAGCTTTTTTCCCAAGCCCCCACCAACACTGTACCTCCGTTGTTGGAAAATAAAGCTATTATTACTATTATTATGCAAAGTTTAGGGCTGGGGGAGGAGTCTACGAGTCAAGTTATAAAGGTGATGTTGACCTTTTGATCTCGATGTTGGGGATTGCAAACGGAGTATCTCGCAAAGAATTAATACTGTATTTGCCAGTTCGCAGCAAAGAGCAGAAGAGGAATCTTCATACCTTGATGCCTTAGAATACTATGCAGGACACTTTAGTCAACACAGCTCCAGCAAACGCTCCCTAGCAACCTTGAGGTGAACCAACTCAAACGACATCTCAGCTCACATACTTTCATTTCCTCTCTTATGACAACCGAAATCGGCAGAAACCAATTAAAATCAAACGCAATCAATTAACCCTATCAGAACGCTTCAAGAGGACGGGGATCGTATTCAGCAAACGACGAGGTTTTGTCCTCGAAAACACAAACTATAACTAAAACCACCACTGTTCCAACCCTGTCAACCTGTGCAACACCACTGTACACGTCGTTCATGAAAGTTACACATCTCATTGCAGCTGAGCGAGTTTACGAAAATCAGAGAGGGCTGAGTGCAGCTCAACCCGCCGTGCTGGCTGGCACGATGGTAGCAGTTGGAGGCATTTGTTCGTGTTGTCTTCTTCGGTGTCGTGGCGGTGAAAGGCGAGACCCTTCTTTCTCGACTGTGACAGGCGCTTGGAGCACTTGGACGACGGTTTCCTTGAGTGAAGCTTCTGATCTGCGACAAACGAATACACGACTGCTATGGCATGGACTTCAAACTGGATGACGTTTAAGTCTCTTCATTCTAAATTTGGAGGTCGTCAATAAAAATTGGTTAAGGCTGGCCTTACCGAGCATGGCATTGATGCCGTAGTTTAATTTTTTTTTTTTTTAAATCCGATAGCATTTTTTTTTCATTCTATGATTGGGGACAACATTTTTCTTGAAAAGAAGCCAAAGCAATGGGTAACCATGAGTTCGAACAAATTGAGGTCCGGTCAACACGCGCAGTCTCGACTACTTCTGAAAAAGCAGAAAAGGTTCTTACCAAGCTTAATTTCAGAAACGAACAGCCTTCCTGTACAATGTCCTCACCTGATGGGGGTTCAGAAGACCTGGATGCGGTGATTCTCCCGGTCGCAGACGACGATGCTGCCGTTGGGCATGACGGCGATTCCCTCGAGTCCCTTGAACTCGCCGTCGCCGGAGCCCCATTGGCCGAAGGCACGCAGGAAGGATCCGTCCGGGTGGAAGATCTGGATGCGGTTGTTGCCGGAGTCGCCGACCATGATGTAGCCCTGGTCGTCTACGGCCACGCCTCGCGGGAACTTGAACTGGCCGTCGTCCGAACCCTCCGAGCCGAAGGTGGACAGGCTGCGGCCGTTCACGTCGAAGATCTGGATGCGGTGGTTGTTAGAGTCGCTCACGATAACGCGGTTGGTGTTGGAGACTGCCACGTAGTGCGGGTGTTCCAGGTGGCCCGGCCTGGAACCCAGGGAGCCGAACTTTCCGACGAACGTGCCGTCGGACTGGAACACCTGCGCCAGCGCCAGACGAACGGAAATTAGCCTTGTTGGTTGTCTTTAGTGTTGAAACAGAGGGGGAAGGGGGTGGAGAAGAGGAGGGGAGAGGAGGGCTATGATTCTGTGCATTTTCTTTTGCACGACATTTGCCATAGCTTTTTTACGGCAATAGTTGTTATGGGCTCTTCTCCGAGCTTGTACTGATGTAGGGCGACAGCCATCGATATCGACAAAATGCTTCAAGGAGAAAGTAAGAAAAAAACGACCACGGTTTTTTATACTTCGAGATTAGGTTCGCCGATCAAGAAGCGAGCGCGCTACCACAAAACCAATACAGCTTTTTTTCTTTTTTTCTTTTTTCTTTTTTTGGCAGAGTTATTTGCTTTAATGCGGTGCCTAATAAAGCGGATTCCTTGAGGACAGTTGCGCATCCCGCGTCTGTTAGAAAGCTTCTGTGTGTATAAAATTAACAAATGCGTCCCTGAAAAAAAAAATTAATATTTTTTAACAGTCCAGTTGGGACACGCGTGTCAAAAAACAAATTTTACGCGACAAAAACAATAGTTTTGGAGCAATATTGACGGCACAAGACACGATTTAGTCAACAGTCACCTCCTTTCCACTTGTTTTCCCTCTCTGCATTTCGGGCGCGTGAAGGAGAGGTCAATCGGCTTCGCCTTTACGACCAAGATGGTCATTCCCGAATGACCCGTGACGTCGTGGACTTTGCGCGCAGAATTTCAAATAAATTTCTCGCCGTCAATATTGCTCTAACTTCGTTTGTGTGTGTCAAATTTATTTTTTGACACGCATGTCCAACCCAAACTGTATAAAAAAACTTTTTTTGGGGGTGCCGATCAAGGCATAAGATACACAACGATACATCCGAATCCGTCCACGTGTCCCAGCTACTGTTGGGAGTGTACATTAAATTTATACAAGGCTCATATATTATATTTAACTAGAGGTATTGTACACCGCCAATAATGCATTTTATTCAAATATCATTTCTTATGGAATATTATCATGTCATGTTGTCATCACCAATTTTTTTTTAGAAATATCGGCTCGTTTTATGGCCTTCAAGATTCCTGGAATATTAGAGGTCATGGCTGGATGCATACGCCTGCCATTATCCACAAATATCCACCTCTACAGAGAAAAGTATAGTCAAAGATTTCTACCTCCCATTTACAATATGCCTCAAAAAAAAAATTTAGATTTCTTTTTTTTTTAATCGCGAAAATAAACTATAGGCATCACCGAGCGCTCATTCTCCGCCCAAAGGTAGCGCCAAAGTGATTTTCTGAAATTTTCAATGAGAAGATGGAACCCATTTTTGCCCGTTTTCGGTTTTCGGTTTTTGTATTCGAAAACTCCGTCAGCCGCCATTTTCCCCTGGAAATTTTCAGAAAATCAGTTCTAACTTTTCAATCAGGTGTCCGTTCGGGCTGAAACTATGGCATCTGGTTGGGACCTCTAGCGCTACCTTTGGGTGGAGAATGAGCGTTCGGCGATGCCTAGTTTATTGTTCCGGTAAACAAAACCCTGTAATTCTTTTTTTTTTTTTTTTCGTGACACCCTGTACAGTGGCCTACAGTGGACTCCTCTAAGACGCTGTAACAAAAGAATTCTGTAGCGTCAAACTCCCATCGAATAACTCCGAAGGTAAGGATAACTTTTCTGCGTACCTGGACTCTGTGGTTCTCCTTGTCACACACGTAGATGAAGCCCAGTGAGTCCGTAGTTATGCCCCAAGGGTAGTTGAAGCGTGCATCCACCCTGCCCTCGCAGCCAAAGCTGCGCAAGAAGCGACCCGACGGGTCGAAGATCTGGATACGGTGGTTGTACCGGTCGGACACTATGAACTGTCCGATGCGGTTCACCGCAACGCCGGCCAGGCAATCGAACTCTCCCTCCGAGCTACCGTAGGTGCCGAACTCGTGCTGGAAGCGTCCGGACGAGTCGAAGACCTGCGAAGGACGTCATACAAGTTGGGAGTTCAAGGAGTGCAAAATTATCTTTCTAACAAAAAAGAAAAGAAAAACGGCATTTGCTTGTAACCTTTTCACTCCGTATTTCATCGAACCTAAAGGCGTGCGTAAGACCAGTCTAGACATACGTGTTTGGATTCATTGCAGTTCCAAGACAAGTACATCTGGGAATTCTTTTGAAAACAATTTGTGACGGCAGTGTGCTTTTTAGTGTCACCGCGAAATGGATGCACTTGAGGCCATTTAATTGCAATGTTAACATTAAAATGTGCGTGTAAGAACGTAACGAAACAGACCAGCTGCTGTGCATGCAGCAACTAAAAATGTATGCTGAAAATAAATACCTACCAAACCGGTACGAAAATGTCTCAGTGTGCATTCTCTTGTTCGCTGTCTATGCGAGCATGGTAGGTACTTACTTTTTTTTTCTCACCATTTTCACTTGATAACTAAAGCTTTCACGAACATTCAGATATCCGCCATTTTAGGCGGAGAGACTTACTTGCGAACGTTTCTTCACGCCATTTAAAGTGCTTATACTTTAACTTCGCGGGTTATGAAAAGCTTCTAGGTAACGTAAAGCTGAAAACATCAAAGTACGTTCATCAGTTAAGCTAAGAATAACGAAAACATCACCAGCCTGTGCCTCGCACAATATGCGTCCTGAACAAACATTTTCACATATACACGCCGGTCCTGTCTTCAAAGCGGTTATGGACTGTGGTGTCGCTAAAACAGTGTTATAGGCGTTACCGAAAAAAGTAACGAAATACGTTACTCGTCACTTGCCAGGTAAAGGAACGCGTTACAGATTTATGTTACCTCAAAAAGGGAACGCGTTAGAGTTACCGTTCCCGATAAAAAGTAACGTAGGTTACTTTTACGGTACTTTTTCTTATATAAATTGGCGGTATGATGATGATGATGATGAGGATGCGGCTTGTTCCCTTTGAAACGGGCGAGCGCGAATCAAGTTCGTGCCTAAGGCTGGGTTTTTTGTTTGTTTGTTTTTTACATTGGAACAAAGGGTGGGGGCGTTGGGTTTTTTCTGAAGTGGTACTTTTTTGCTTTCTTGCATAAAGAAAAGACAGGCAAAGTATTGAAGATATGTGAAATGAGTGCAAAAATTAATGAACTAATAACTTGGGGCCTATACTTTGTTCTAGCTTAAGTCCAGACGCAGCAGACGCTTCAAGCGAATGAGAAAAATCGAAAGCGCAAGTCACTGGGTCTTTTTTTTTTTTTTTTTTTTTATGATTGGTTAAGCGATGACAGAACATGTACAGAGACGTGAGGAAGACCATGATGGTACCCTTTTGATGCTGTCTGATCGGTCTTATCAGCTCTATAGCGTCGCCTGTCTCTGGACCTAAGGTAAAACGAAGTATAAAAACACAAAAAAGGCGTGTTTTTTTTTTTGTTTTGTTTTTTTGCTTTTTTTTTGGGGGGGGGGGGGGGGGTCTTGAGTTGAAGATCTAACGAGTAACGTAATAAGGTTACTTGTTACTTTAAATGAGTAACGTAAGTACGTTACGCGTTACTGTTCCAAAAAATGTAACAAGTACGGTACTACGTTACAGAAAAAAAAAAGTAATACTGCTCTAGACGCTAGGGGCAAACATTTATCACGAGCGCTTGAATGCCTCGTTATAACTAGGGCTATGTTTCCTCGTGCTTTATTGTTCGTTGAAAACAGGGATGTATTTAGGGGGATTACTATTTAATCCATTAATTCGGTGTTTTTCGGTGGCAATTTTCCGTGTAGTACAAGAATCGATGTTTGTGGGCAGTTTACTCGGGCGTGTACTCCGGGCCAACAGGAAATAATTCTCTAGATAAAGATTTCTTCTGTTGAAGCTAGTATTCTGTTTATTCAAAGACGGCTTCAATTCGGGATTTCCCGGTTATCTCTGATTTTGCTAAAAGCGGCTCGGGGCTAATTTTTGAGTGTTGACTGGTGTTTACCAAAAACACGAGACACTACAATTATAACGGAAGATGTTTTTGTTTGCTTGAGTGTGCACACACTTAAAGCGCCCCTGAAAAGAAAAAAAGAAATGATTCTTTGAACAGTCGTTTGAACACGCGTTTAAAAAAAAAAACCAATAACGCGAAAAAAAATTTTAGAGCAATGTTGACTGCGAGAGATTTATTTGAAATTCTACGCGCGAAGACCATGACGTCACAAGTCATTCCGGAATGACCATCTCGGTCGTGAAGGTGAAGCCGATCCAGCTCTCCACCACGCGCCCGAAATGTCGAGAAAGAGAAAAAAGTGTAACCGCTCATTCACACTGGAAGCGGATCCGCGTTCGCAAAGCGGTTGCGAACGCGGTTGTATAAAGATTCAGTGCAATTGCACGCGCACTCGATGACATCAGGTGCGCGTGCAATTGTACTGGATCTTTATACAACCGCGTTCGCAACCGCCTTGCGAACGCGGATCCGCTTCCAGTGTGAATGAGCGGTAAAGGAGGTAACTCCCGGCAAAATCGCGTCTCGCGTCGCTAATATTGCTCTAAAATATTTTTTCGCATAAAATATATTTTTGGCACGCGTGTCCCAACCAGACTGTTTAAATATTTTTTAGAGCGCAGCTCTTAGGCGCCCGTTCCCGGCTTGAGCGGCGTCGGCGTCGCCGTCGCTGTCGGGGTAACCACGAGTAACCCTTGTAACCCTCGTGAGGGTTACGAGGGTTACTCTCACGAGGGTAACTTTCACGAGGGCTACGAGGGTTACTAACCCTCGTAACCCTCACGAGGGTTACGAGGGTTAGTTACCCTCAAAAGGGTGACCCTCACGAGGGTCACGAGGGTTATGAGAGTTACCCTCACGAGGGTTATGAGAGTTACCCTCACGAGGGTACGAGAGTTACCCTCACGAGGGTCACGAGAGTTACCCTCACGAGGGTCACGAGAGTTAACCTCACGAGGGTCACGAGAGTTATCCAGGTCACGTGACCCCCCGGGGTCACGTGACCTGCGGATACCCCCCGAGGTCACGTGACCCCCCGTTGACGTCATCGCCATTGATGATGTCATCAGTGACGTTACTGATAACGTCACTGACATCCACATCGTCATCCTCAGTAATGACGTCATCAGTGACGTCACTGATGACGTCATCATTGACGTCACCGATGATGTCATCGGCATCGTCGCGTGACCCCCCAGGTCACGTGACCCCCCCGCCGTCACGCAACATCCCAAGGTCACGTGACTCCCACAAGGTCACGTTACACCCCCTAAGGTCACGTGACCCCCCCCACCCGAGGTCACTTGACCCACCCCCCCTAGTACCCTTCCCTCCTCCTCCTCAAGAGCTGCGCTCTAATTCGGCGTTACAGGGAGTGGTAAACGGCTTTCTTTTTTTTTTCAGAAACCTTTTAATTTGGGACGTGCTGCCGCAAGAACAGCCGTCTCAGTTAATACTGCAGGCTGGGAGAATTAAAAAGACATAATTACGAATCAGCGCACAAGTAGACAGTTACTCAAAAATCCAAACACACAAAAAATACAGCCACACAAAACTGAACTATCAACGCATATGTATTTAGTAAAACTTAAACTGTTAAAGTGAAACAACTCAAACTCAGTTGATAGTTCAGCGCTGTGTGAGTGTATTTTCTGTGTGTTCGGATTTTTACAAAAACTGTGTACCTGTGCGCTGGTTCGTAATTAAGCTCTTCCAGGAATAGACACCGAGCCCCCCTTTCTAGGACGTAAGATAAGCGTCACCATGAGCTGTCCAGAAATGCCATTCTCCACCAAAAATCTTACTCCACCACACAAAACTCACATTCAGGAAACATAGGTTGGCCGCTTTGGTAAACGAAGAGGACCCTTTGCCTAATGTTTTAAATGCCAAAGAGCATGGTGGATTTACATGTGCTTACGCTGCACACGCTGACACGTGCAGCGCGCGAGCACGTGCGCGTGTGTACATAAGTTTTGTGCGGGGGTCTTTTATGGAGAACCATTTTGGCCGGGACCATTTTCTCTGCTTTTTGATATTTAAATAATTCGGCAAAGATGCTTTTTTGTGTATTATTTTCGAATGGTGTATCGACAAACTGTGCGACCAAACGCGCACGTAACCATTCCACTGCAAGTGCATGGTCATGTTTAGAGTCGCCGGATATATTACAATAACTAGCTATCTGTACCGTGACATCTCTAAAAAGAACCAAATACTGGTTGAAATGTTATCAGCACTATCCATAGTAAAGCGCCCTTAGAATCTTCAATAATGAAAGGTTGTAATGTTAGGTGCCCAGCCTCGTCTCCGAATGGGAGGACAACGTGCTCGTATTTAGTGATTCGGCTCCACTCGCGCCCCATAAAGTGAAACAACCCATATTAAAAAGAGGTTATAGTGGTTACATGCTGAAATCAACGCATTGCAATGGGTCGCCAATCTAAAGCCCTGTCAAGCTACCTTTCTAGCTTAGAGCCACACAAAAACAAAATATTCGCCAGCCGCTACAAAATATAATGAATCTATTCTGTTTAGAGTAAATACGCGCGTCAATAAACACTTTAACATTTACCCAATGCTATCGCATTGCTTGTTTTCTACCCGAAAAAAAAAATATGAACACGCAGCTCTAATTATTTTTTTTTTTAGCCAGGACGAGAATTAAGATTAAAAATAGCTTTTATCTGTCCTCCACTCAGCTGGGCGCTTGCGGCAACCACTCATTGTAACAAAAAGCATGAAAGGCAAAACCGCACCCACACACAAAGTAGATTTGTTCAGAAAGGCGGTTGAGTTTCGAAAGGTGGCTGCTTTTGAACGACAGCTTACCATTCCTTTGGGACTGGCACTGAAACGCTCGCAGTTGTCACTTAACAAATCTATCGTTGCCCCCATTCATAACAAAAAAAAGAAAAAACGACGCTGCTAGTCGCATGCCGCATGCCGTCCTTTCTATTTTTCAGGTTTTGTATACAGAGATTTCGTTAATTAAATGAGAATCG